AGCGGTTTACATAGTCAGCATATTGTCCCCAATAATCTGGGTGCTCCTTTTACCCACCTCAGAAGGATAGAAGGCTGAGTCAACCTTGAGCCTGGTGAGATTTGAACTGCCAAATTGCAGGCAGGCAGCAGAAGTAGGCTGCAGTACTGCATTCCAACCACTGTGCCACCAGTAAATATCTATTTAGAAAATTTATTTACCGCCTGTCTCATATCCAACAACTCTGGGCAGCAATATATTATAAAATATACTGTAAAATATTAGCCAGTGGAAATTTAGGAAATGTATTTCACATAAGTTAGTCATGTGATCATTTTATGTCTATGCTCTTTGCTCCTGTCATAAATGCTGAAAAGGTCAGCAATTCTTTTGATGACTGCTGTGCTTTCTCAAGTGGACTTAGTTGAACAACAAGGGACCAGTATTACGGTCAAACATCAAAGCCAATTATGTGTCACGACAGAGGAGAAGAACATCAGAAAGCATCAGAAAAACCTCTTGGCCAAAGCCAAGATGGCTAAGATGAAAAAAGATGATAACAGCAAAATAGAAAACAGCTCAATAGCAAAGGAAAAGCTGTGGAGGAGGAGCAAGCAAAATGAAGGAATGCACATAGATCACAAATCCAAAGAGTGAGAACGGTTTGCAGGGAGATCAGACAGAAAGTTGCCTTTGAGAAACAAATAACCACTATGAAAAAGTTACAAATGAAATTAACCTCAAACATGATACATAGCCAGACCTTGGGAAGGGAAAAGTTAACAGGGAGAAATGGAACTTATGTTCCAGATATTACCATGAATAGATATCCCAGCATCACACCAGTGGTGGGTTCCGGATTCTGTTCCAACCGGTACAGTTGGAACAGGCCTTGCGTCGCCCACATGATGCGTGTGGCATGCGTGCACACGCATCATAGCTGCCAGCGATGCTTCCGCAAGCCTCCGTGATGCTCCAGCTGCTCAGCGGAGCGTCACGCAGGCACTGTACGTGCCATGTGCCTGCGCAGAAGCGCCACAGGCTTTAAAGAACAGGTAAGGAGCTCGGGCGGGCGGGCCCTCCGGAGCACTGTACCAGAACGGTATCCGGTGCTCCGGGCAGGTTCCGGTACACCCGTACAGGGGCTTACCGCCTGCAACCCACCACTGCATCATACTACCTATTTTTTGCAATCCTGTACTATTTAACTAAACTAATTTTAACAACATAAGCAATATGGCCATTCAAATATTCAACAGGAGTATTATGCATCAACAGAGGTATTGCCTAGTGATTAGATAGAAAGACTTGTCAATGGCAGGAAGGAATAAGTAGAGAGTGATTTAAGGCAGAAGACAAATATAGGGGATTAGAAATGGAACTATAAGACAGATTTATTGTTTAAGAACATCCTCCTGACATAAAACTTATGCAGAGAAAGTCAGCAAATGATTTAAAGACACAGATGGAGAAAAGGCTAGAACTTACTGCGGTTGGGTCTTTTTTATGTAGTTGAGCAGCTGTAAGTTGCAGGAAGCCACCAGGGTATCTACGGTACAAAATGGCAGCCATTTGGAAACAGGCAAAGGTGAATGGGCATAAGAATGTGGCCAATAAAAAGAGCTTGGAAAACAAGGCCCTCAGCCTATCTTCCTTGAGCGACATTCTTCCAGATTTGATTAACTGTTTAAGTGTCTTCCTGCCTCTACTCCCCTTCCTTAGCCAGTACTACTATCTTATGTATTTATGTAGTGCTGGCAGTCTGCCTTGAGATTTACACAGCCAGCTCAAAAGAGGACAAAAAAAAGGAAAAAGACCCCAGCACCTCTCCACCAGTAATCAGTATAGATTAATTCTAAGGCCAACTTCAGAACTACAATCAAATAAACAACACCCCAATCAAGAAACTGCCAAAGAGCCATCAGTAAACAGCCCAACCAAAGAATCTCTAAAACAGCCCCCACCCAACACAGACAGGCAGGACATCAGAATATAAACAGCACTCCTTACTAACACTGATGATGTTACCTAGTGGGGTAATGAAACATCTGCAAGAAAACAAGCAAGCTCAGATAGTATCAAGAACACCTCATTTCAACCCTGAGCTACAAATATTATTAAATTCACAATCTAGCACTGAATTCATTGCTTAACAATGCTTATTAGACCAGAAATTTTGTCATTAGTGATACAGTCAAAAAACCATGTAAATGTCCTGCTTACCATATTTTTCGGAGTATAAGACGCACCAAGGTTTTGAAGAGGCAAATTTTTTTAAAAAAACTTTTTGCACTCTGCAGACCTCCCCAAAACGGCCCGTTTTTCACAAAAACAGGCCTGCTGTTCCCCGCCCCCCAAAGGCATGAATAGCCTTTAGGAGGCTTAGAGTGCTCCTGGGGACTGGGGGAAGGCAAAATTGAGCAAAAAATGGGTCATTTTTCGCTCATTTCTGCCCTCCCCAGCCCCTAGGAGCACTCTGTAAGACTCCTAAAGGCTATGCATGGCCATTTTGGTGAAGAGGGTGGGGTTTCAGGAGGCAAAAAATGCTGTATTCAGTGTATAAGACGCACCCAGATTTTCAGCCTTTTTTGAGGAAAAAAGTTACGTCATACTCCGAAAAATACGGTACCTATGACAGTTCCCATAATCCTAGTTCCGATTGTTAAGCAAGGACCTCACATAATCACAACTTGGGACTTGTTACTGGCTTCCCCGCTGACTTTGCTTTCAGAAGCCAGCAGGAAAGGTTGCAAATTATGGTCACATGACCACGGGACATTGCAAATACTTTAACTGCAATTTGGGTGCTAGGTGTCCAGATCACAATCACATAGCCACAGGGATTCTGCAGTGGACATAAGTATGAGGACTAGTCATAACTACAACTTGTTCAGTGTAAATACAAATGATCACTAAATGAAAGGTTGTTAAAAGTAGAAACTCATGTACTTGGAATCATAAAAACAATGTCAAAGGTAACTTAAAATAATGTTATATTTTGGAAACATTCATTTTATAGACTTAAGATTATGGAAAACTTACCCAGTATGTGATGAGTATACTTTCTGCTCCCATTTGTTGCCAGAAAAAGCAATATGCCTTGTATTAATGATGACGACATGATCCCCAAGGTCACCTTTAAAAAAAACCCACCATTAATAGGATTACCTCTAATCAGAAGATCTGATTGTACATAATGACAATATTAAGCAGCTCCAATACAGAATGATATAAATCCCAAACATTGAAACATTCCTTTTAATGGAGTCTATTAATTCATTTGAAAGTCAATCAAATGGCTAGCAAATAAAGCCATGGCAGTGGGATGTGCAATGAGGTATCAGAAACTTCTCAACTTTTGAGACAGATATATGGGGTTGAAGTTTAATCTATATTTATATATATTTATTTATAAAGTTTGATCTATATATTTATATATATATATATTTAAAAGGAAGATTTCAGTTTACTAACACCCTGCAAATCATCTTTTCCCCTCTTCATAATATTTATGTATGTTAATGTTTAATTAAAAATAATCCAGAATTTGGATATAGTAAAACAAGCCATACAAAATTAAAATCATTCAAGTACAAACTTAAACAGGACAATAGTGAAATACTACTAAGAAAGTTTGCTAGATGTCCTTGGGACAAAAACTCAAAAACTTTCAGGTAACTTCTTTTATATTTATCATTTTTTCTAGATTTACATATTTTATCATTTTGTAAGCCGTTCAAACTCACTTTGAACCATGCAGCAAATAAATTTAATTAAAAAAATAGATTGATCATTGATGCCAAAATCCAATTAAATCTGGAGCCTACTTAATGGCATTGTGCATATATTATTTTAGCCCTCATGTTCTGGGTGATTTTGGCTGAAATCTCAAAAGAATATTGAAATCTTCAAATTATTATATTTTAAAATAAATGTGAAACAATTTTGGCATCAAAAATTCTTTTAGATTACATTTCTTGTAATCATAGCCTTATAGTCAACAAACCACCTACTAATTTTGTTGTTAAGAGTAAAGGTTCTTCTCGCACATGAGTCATTCCTGACTCTAGGGGGCCATGCTCATCTCTGTTTCAAAGCCGAAGAGCCAGCGCTGTCCGAAGACGTCTCCATGGTCATGGGGCTGGCATGACTAAATGCCAAAGGTGCACAGAACGTTGTTACCTTCCCACCGAAGGTGGTTTCCATTTTTCTACTTGCATTTTTACATGCCTTTGAACTGCTAGGTTGGCAGAAGTTGGGCCAAGTAATGGGAGCTCACTCGGTTACGCGGCACTAGGGATTTAAATTGCCAAACTGCTGATCTTTCTGATCAGTATCTTAGCCACTAAGCCACCGTGTCCCACAGAGTTAAACCATGGTGTAAAACAATATCTCAAGAACTCACTTTGTTGAACTAAGTTGAATTACTGAAAATCTCCAAGATACTTAGTAGATGTAGTTCCAGCTTTGCTTTTCCACTCTCCATCCCCAATTTAAAACAAGAAAATAAATGAGTGTTCATGTAGTACATTTGTTTCAATCCAGAACAAAACTTACTCAATGCATGGTATATCGGCTTATGCTTTCCCTCCAGCCGGACGCTTGCAACGATTGCAAGCTTCCCTGGCGGTTGCATCCATCCATCTAAAAGGTACCAGGTTCGAGCAAATGTAGCCCATTGCTTAAAGAAATAACAGATGTAGAAAATAAATGGCAAATGGCAACAACCTTGGATGCAAAAATTGTCATTGGGGCCGTTGATACCCCTTGGTACTATATCCAAGAATTTTACAAAATATATCAAGAAATTGCAGCTTCCTGCAATACCACTAGCGGAACTGCAAAAAACAGCAACAACCATGCGCTACTCGGAACATCAAACATTTTAAGAAGATACTTGGTCAATACCTAGGATGCTGGCAGCAACCCATATCAACCATCAGTGCCAGTCAATGATATTTGTGATACATTTTAAATGTTCAGTTGACTGAGTTTCCTGTTTAATGAATAAAAGTATTTGTATTTGTATTTATTATACTTGTATGCCGCCCTATTCCCGGGGGGACTCAGGGCGGCGAACAAACACATGGGGAAGGGGGTAATACAAAAACGAACAAGACAAAACAGGATACAAAAGACAGATTAAAAACTACACAACAATCACAGCAATTCAAGTGGGGCTGGGAACTCATCAGCCCCAGGCCTGCCGGAACAGCCAGGTCTTGACGGCTTTGCGGAAAACCTGAAGGGTGGTGAGGGTCCGAATCTCCACTGGGAGATCGTTCCAGAGGGCCGGAGCAGCCACAGAAAAGGCCCTCCCCTGGGGGGTCGACAGTCGACATTGGCTAGCTGATGGTATCTGAGGAGGCCTAATCTGTGGGATCTGACTGGTCGAAGGGAGGTAATTGGCAGTAATATTACAATGGAGATTACAAAATACAAAGACCTACAAATAGCAATAGAACGACTGTGGCAAATACAAGCAAGGGTAATATCAATAGTAATAAGTGCTTTGGTCCAATCCCAAAACAACTGGAGCACCACTTGAACACTATTGGCATTGACAAATTTGCCATCAGTCAATTGCAGAAGGCAGCTTTACTTGGAAATAGCTTCCAACCTGTGAAGGTATCTGAAACACCATCAAACATCCAGATCTGCCTAGTCCAGGTCGATGGTAAGGACTCAATAGGTATACAAAAATGCCAAACCCAGTCTGAACATCTAGCTATGTGCAAATAATAATAATAACAACAATAAGAAGAAGTGTTATTAAAGTATTTTTAAGAAAATACTTGGTCGATACCTAGGACGCTGGCAGCAATCCATATCAACCATCAGTGCCAGCTAATAATATTTGTGATACACTTTAAAATATTCGGTTGACTAAGTTTCATGTTTAATGAATAAAGTATATCATAATAATAGAATGAATAAATGAAAATTAATGAATTATTAATGAATTAATGAATCATTAATGAAATTAATGAATACAAGTTTATAATAAAATACATTTATATGTCTCCCAATGACTCTGGAATCTGCAGCAAGAACAACAATGCTCGGGCAACCCCTAAAAGGACTAACAAACCTCTCCCAACACACACATACACCCATTGGTTGGTCTTCATTATTATTATTTATTTATTGGTTGCTTCCAAAGTCGTGAGCCAATTTATTCCAGCTACAAAATCAGAGTCCAGCTGCGGGGATCCATTACTTTAAGGCAGCGTTTCTCAACCGCCGCTTTTAAGTGAGGCGGACTTCAACTCCCAGAATCCCTTAGCCAGCCATGTTAAATGGGGGAGTCCTGGGAGTTGGAGTCCACTCCTCTTAAAAGCTACTAAGGCTAAGAAAACATGGTTTTAAGTCCACCTAGAAACATCCTCCGGACTCTTCACGTGTCTAGAAACCATCCATCCAGCCTTTACTCTTGACTAGACCCTTCAACGACAGGCCCAAAGTCTCCAGGACGATTCTTAAGGGGAGACCATCCAACATCACGCCGCGGAGGAAGCCTCCGAAGCCGGCTGGCCTGTCCACCCGGCCTTCCCAATACTTTTATGGTTCCTTCTTCCTAAAGAACCCCCCCCCCCCGCACGTCATCCCCGAGGCGGCCGGACACAAGGTCACCCGTACCTGCGCGGACTTGGTGAAGCTCGCCATGGCTTCCACAGTGCGAGCGGAAGCGGCGGGCCGCCTGGGTCACGGAGACGAGAGGCCAGAGCGGCAACCTGTCTGAGAAGCGGAAAGGGCGAGTCAGCCGAGGCGGGAAGTCTCGTCGGGGAGGCGCGGGAGGTTTAACCGAGACGGCGGCGTCAATCATGGACCGCTATCTGCTCTTCCTCAGCTGGCAGCTCCGGCGGAACCAGACGGGTCCCGGAGGCTTTTCAGGTGCCGTTTCGGGAGAAAAATTCTTGCGCTGAGGGGGTGGGGGCTCTCTCCTTCATTCTTATCCGGGACACGGCCGTGGCTTTTTTGGAGGTGGGAACGAGTTGTTTAACGTTGTCCTCCTCGGGGTTTTGCTCTGCCTGCCTAGACTCAGATCTCCTGGTGGTCTCCCATCCGAGAACAGCTTCATTTTTGGAGAGGATGGTTCTAGTGCTGCCACCTAGCTGAGACTGTGCGGTTTGTGGGGAAGCCTCTGTCCTTTTCCTCTTCGATTCCTAGGAATTTATATTTATATAATTACAATTCTGTCTCCCCCCCCCCTCTATCTCTCTGTATGTAATATGTGTGTATGTATGTATATATTTGGATGTGTGTGTGTATGTGTATATGTGTATGTTTTCTGATATATGTGTATGT